AAACCTAACCAAACCAAACCCAACCCAACCCAACATAACCAAACCTAACGTAACCTAACCCAACATAACCTAACCTAAACTAACCCAACCCAATCCAACCCAACCCAACCTAACCTAAACCTAACCTAACCTAAACCTAACCTAACCTAACGTAACACAACCTAACTTAAGCTAACGTAACCCAAAACATGCTAACGTAACCACTAGTTCTTCTGAAGTACTGCAATGTAGCCAAAAATGACCAACACCTACGTAAAATAAGGTAGACGTGCCGAAACGTGACATGCTGATCACGCGTGCTCAAGCGTGACATAGCGTGACTAAGCGTGACCTGCGCTCACGTCGTGACAAGGGATCTCCATAAGTGTCAAATTGTGATAAAGATTTACAAAGCGTGAGTAAACGTGACTAAGCGTGACAAAGCGTGATGAAGCGTGACTAGGCGTGATTTACTGTAAAGGCGTGACGAGTTGTGGCCAGAAGAGTTGAAAGATGACGAATTTAAACAAAGCGTGACCTTGCGTGACAAAGCGTGACTAGTCGTGACGTACTATAACGGCGTAACGAATTGTGGCCGTAAGTGTCGAAACGTCAGAAAAATTTCAAAAGCATTACCGAACGTAACAAAAATACAAACTTAACCTAACCTAACCTAATCTAACCCAACCCAATCCAACCCAACCCAACCTAACCTAAACCTAACCTAACCTAAACCTAACCTAACCTAACGTAACACAACCTAACTTAAGCTAACGTAACCCAACACATGCTAACGTAACCACTAGTTCTACTGAAGTACTGCAATGTAAAAAATGACCAACACCTACGTAAAATAAGGTAGACGTGCCGAAACGTGACATGCTGATCACGCGTGCTCAAGCGTGACATAGCGTGACGAAGCGTGACCTTCGCTCACGTCGTGACAACGGATCACTATAAGTGTCAAAATTGTGATAAAGATTTACAAAGCGTGAGCAAACGTGACTAAGTGTGACAAAGCGTGATGAAGCGTGACTAGGCGTGATTTACTGTAAAGACGTGACGAGATGTGGCCAGAAGAGTCGAAAGATGATGAATTTAAACAAAGCGTGACCTTGCGTGACAAAGCGTGACTAGTCGTGACGTACTATAACGGCGTAACGAATTGTGGCCATAAGTGTCGATTCGTCACAACAATTTGAAAAACATTACCGAACGTAAAAAAAAACAGAAACCTAACCTGACCTAACCTAACCTAACCCAACCCAACCGAACCGAACCTAACACAACCTAACTTAAGCTAACGTAGCCCAACACATGCTAACGTAACCACTAGTTCTTCTGAGGTATTGCAATATAGCCAAAAATGACCGACCCCTACGTAAGATAAGTTAGACGAGCCGAAACGTGACATGCTTATCACGCGTGCTCAAGCGTGACATAGCGTGACGAAGCGTGACCTTCGCTCACGTCGTGACAACGGATCACTATAAGTGTCAAAATTGTGATAAAGATTTACAAAGCGTGAGCAAACGTGACTAAGTGTGACAAAGCGTGATGAAGCGTGACTAGGCGTGATTTACTGTAAAGGCGTGACGAGTTGTGGCCAGAAGAGTCGAAAGATGACAAATTTAAACAAAGCGTGACCTTGCGTGACAAAGCGTGACTAGTCGTGACGTACTATAACGGCGTAACGAATTGTGGCCATAAGTGTCGATTCGTCACAACAATTTGAAAAACATTACCGAACGTAAAAAAAAACAGAAACCTAACCTAACCTAACCTAACCTAACCTAACCCAACCCAACCGAACCGAACCTAACACAACCTAACTTAAGCTAACGTAGCCCAACACATGCTAACGTAACCACTAGTTCTTCTGAGGTATTGCAATATAGCCAAAAATGACCGACCCCTACGTAAGATAAGTTAGACGAGCCGAAACGTGACATGCTTATCACGCGTGCTCAAGCGTGACATAGCGTGACCTGCTCTCACGTCGTGACTACGGATCACCGTAAGTGTCAAATTGTGATAAAGATTTACAAAGCGTGAGCAAACGTGACTAAGCGTGACAAAGCGTGATGAACCGTGACTATGCGTGATTTACTGTAAAGACGTGACGAGATGTGGCCAGAAGAGTCGAAAGATGATGAATTTAAACAAAGCGTGACCTTGCGTGACAAAGCGTGACTGGCCGTGACGTACTGTATCGGCGTGACGAATTGTGGCCATAAGTGTCGAATCGTCACAAAAATTTTCAAAACCTTACCGAACGTAACAAATTATACAAACCTAACCTAACCGAACCCAACCTAACGTAATCTATCAAAACACAATGTAATCAATGAGTGCATATTGCTACCTATACATGACCTTTACATATCTATGACCTCTAAATGATGTGGGTGTAATATCACTACGATTCGTACAGTTTTTATGTAAATGCGTGAGAATATAGTACTACGAATGACCTTGAAATATTTGAGTCCTATTATTCTCAAACAGTTTGTTGTGATCTTGTCGTGGTTATCCCATGTGCTTGACCAATCTGTGACCTCATTTTTACATGAGTATATTCAACCGCGTATGTATGGTTTGGGGGAAATAAGCGTGAAAAGATATGCCCTTGAGAATTTTCAAAATCTGTATCTCACAAACTATTCGGACAGTCTTGTTGTGACTACCATATGACCTTGACCTATACATGGCCTAATTTTAACATGAGTATGTTAACCGGCTATTTACCGTTTAGAAGATATAAGCATGATAATATATGACCTTGAGAATTTTAAAGATCCGTATCTGGGAAACCAGTGGGCTGATATTTTCGTGACTTACATATGACCTTGACCTATACATGGCCTCATTTTAACATGAGTATGGTTAACCTGCTATTTTCCGTTTAGAAGATATAAGCATGAAAATATATGACCTTGGGAAATTTTCAAAATCTGTATCTCACAAACTATTCGGACGATCTTGTTGTGACTACCATACTACATTGACCTATACATGGCCTAATTTTAACATGAGTATGGTTAACCAGCTATGCCCTGCTTTTCAGAGCAAGAGCCCAAGTTTTACATCTATACTAAACACATTACTGTCTCATATATTATCAAGTCTTATATATTAATCTTCATATATTTAGAAATTTGACTTGAAGACAACGAATGAATCTCAACTGAACTGTAACATGCATTTGCCGAATTTGATTTACTCTTGAAATTCTTTGAAGTTTGTGATATTTTTAACGAGAAGAGTGGTCACGTCTGTGTGTTTACTCTCAATTCCAACACCTTTGTGCCAACGAAAAGATATTCTTGTCCAGTGTTGAAAATCCTGCCTAAAATGCCCATTGTTTCAGTGGTGTCGTCCCGATGGGGTTCTGAGTGTGTGCGCCTGCGCATAGTGGTTAAGTCTGACAACTGCGGCGAGGGGCAGGACTGTTCCGGCAAGGGAGTCTGCTTCTCTAACATCTCCATGGTGAGTATCCGTCCGCAGGTTTCATTTGGGTCCGTGTCTATACAACGTAATCCTGTTTTACGTTTCTAATTGTGCTTCGCAGAACTGAGAAAAGTAGGATTTCAGGTGTTTAAGGCGTCGAGTCCGAGTTCTGGGTTGTTGCGCCATGTAGTCTGGTATAAATTTACCAACATTTCAGAGATCCTTGCTGCCTCCATCATCAGGGATCATCTCCCTGATAATGGAGGCAGCCATCTTTGAAACAAAGAGGCTCGTATATCACATGAACCGCAGATTCAGCAAAGGAAATGCCATGTTTTCATGAGAGAATTTCTTTTTCTACGTAAAGGGTTATTTTTGAAATTCAGAAAAAACTCTGTAAATATGCAAGTAATATCTGTCATGCTAATGGTTTTGTTAACTATAAATCTACCTCTGTACAATGCAGAAGACGATCTGTATTATCAGCTTTGTTACGATGTGTTATTTGTACCCCCAGCAAATAATAACGACCAACTAGCAATGAATACAACTGAATACGTGGATCCTCTTACTCCAATGAGAAATAGGCCTAAAATTTTCATTCTCGTTACTAACACGGCAAAAAGTTTCCGGTTGTTCGGAAGTTATATTCACGTGTACTTTCAGAATTATAAACATCTTTCATGTAGGAGCTACTTGATCACATGTTACTGTACAATCACAGCCCTGCCTTATTATTCTCAACAAACTCCACAGTAAATGACCTTCCTTGAGCATGTTAGTAGGTAGGTCTCTTCAGCTGTTCAGTTGTTAATCCCCTGTTGTTGTGAAAGTGGAAGATTTATCGCCGTTCAGAAAATATAGGCACTTAATCAAATCCGGAGACATTACAATTTAGTTCACATCTTCACAGCTTGTTCTCTAAAACCAATTTTAGTATTATCCTACCAATATACACTTTACTCTCTAGTCCCGCAGCATTTTAAAAAGAAAGCTTAAATTTCATGTCTTTCTCTGAGGTTCTTTAACAAGAGACATTTTCCGTAAAATACTGTTTGTGTGTGTGTCAATAAATATAATGTTTTGCAGATCAAAGGTAGAAGAAAAAATAAAAAGCGTCTCGCTTTTGAGAGCATCTCATAATTTGCTCGTCTTTCTTTCTTGGCAAGAAATCAAACTTTCTAGATGGCTGTCTGACAGTATACAAGGTTTTCAAAACATCCTTGTTTATTGAGCTTAAGACACATTTATCTCCAACTGCCACATATATTTTTCATTTTGGAACAACAAATTTTCAAGACTAAAATGTATTTACTAATTAACAAACCGATTAATTATTTCACAGTGGCCACACTCAGACTTTGTAACAAACCACGATATAAACTTCGCAGTCAAATTAAAATTATTCTTGCCACCAAAATGTTTGGCATCGTTGCCATTTTGCTACCCAGTTCCCTAAGAAGTATCGTAATATTATCTATTGTAATTATGTTCTGTTTCATATTTTAGTGTTGGTTTGGTTGATTCCGCTTCCAATAGGCATTATGCAATTTACTAATCTTACAGGACTGCACGTGTGAATAAAGGAGTAAAGATGGAACGAGATAAAAACACGGAAGAATCATTCCCACAGAATTTCAAAAACCTTTTCCACTGGTTAATATGTTAGTATTTTTCAAAGATCTAATAGGCCCTCCACATGTTATCTCACTAGTGCTGTTTCCATCTTACAAGTTCGCATTTTCTCCACGCTCGAAATGTTGAAGACAATTGGTTAAACAGACCGAGATTTCATTAGGCACACATCCACGCCCTCACACTTATCTGCCATA